CAAGTCATATGTGAAGTCTGGATCCATCTCCACATTCTCATGAAATACTTAGGTGTTTGAACCATGCGTATTGGTTCAGGCACAACTTTTAGAAGGATGATACATCCTTTGCCAGGTTACTCATAAAAATTCTTGATCTTGAGAATTTCTATAATAGTCTGTTTTCAGTCCAGAATTCAGTATATGAAGTGTTTCTGACTTTAATTTCAGAGGTGTAGCATCAGTCAACAGAGATCCATTTTATATGGGAAGTAACAACTGTTCCTTTACTACAGCATGGAAAACAGTATCTGCTCAGTAAGAGACCACCTGAACATCTTTTAATATTACCACATTTTAATTTTTTTTTTCTCTTGCCTACTCAGGCCTCACACCCATCTATTTAAGGCAATTAGAAGTCCTTGTAACTTCAGTGGGATCTGGGCCATCAGTTTCTCACTTAGTGATCTGAGAAGTGTAGGTGGTAGCAACTAGAATTATATAGAGAATGGAAGAGTTGGGCACAATGGGCCTTCCTCCATCCCACAAACATTTGTGAAATAGATGGGGTTTTTCTGAATGGAAGGATGAGAAGACTAGAACTGAGAGCCTGGGAACTCTGGTGCGTGAGCTGGGAAGAACCCAACACCTCTTCACCAAATGCTTTATTGTATGTGCATTCTGCAATGGAAAATCATTCCACCAGAGCATTCCAACTGCCCAGCTTGAAGATTTTGGTTGTAATTCAGTGCAAGATGCATTGTATTATACACACACTTCTGTGTTTAGATATACAATGTGTATCAAGTCAACAGGAGTGGTGTACATACTCAGCATCTTGCAAGGCTGAGTCTTTAAGAATATCTACACTACAGAGTGCAATGTGTTACTTGGAGTACCTCGCTTACTGAAGGAATTGAGAAAAGTAGCACTGAGTTCATTGCAGGTGCATTTTTCCTGCTTCTTAAGCAAGTTTTGCAGTGCCGGGAGTCCTGTACTGTCCTAACTAGGCTGCTTCCAGGATCTAAAATAGCTAGTTCAAAGATACAGGTACTCCTAAGTCATGCTGCAGACTAATGTGCAGATGCAGCCTCATTTATTCTTAGGGAGTGTTCTCAGACCACTATTGTGAGATACCTGATCTGGTCCATCTTTGTATTTAGTCTAGTTATGTATATAGGCACCACCTGGCATTTTGTTGTTATTTCAATATCTGAAGAACAACGAAAAGTACATCAGAAAAGTGGTTTGAATTTGATACAGAAAAATCATAATACCAAAGGAGCTTAAACTTAAATGTGTTACTAATCATGAACGTTCTTGGAAGCCAGTGTGTTTAGTTGGGGCAGCAAGCTTAAAAAATACTAGAGCCAGATGGGCTGATTCATACATCAGCGTGCAGCCTTATCTGCTGAGAAATCAAACCAGCAAGTGGAATACGAAAACCCTTTCTAAATCCTGCAGTTGTGCATTTTTGCTTCTGCTGTAAGCTTCCCCATCTTAGATTTACATATTCCAGAGTGTACTCAAAAATTGTAGATCTTTAACTAGACTCTATATGCTTTGATTCACAATTGTTCCATGTAGAAATGATCTACAATAAATGTTCCATTTATTAAGGCACTATCCATAGTAGTGCCATAAGAGACAGCCACAGTAGCTAAATGCTTGAAGAACTTGTACATTAAGTTTACTTTCATGATGGGAGGCAGGAGGTCTGAAGTCCACTCTAGCTCAAGAGCTGATCCATCTCTAAGAATGATGGTGAATTCTCTCCCTGACTCTATAAATCACCTCTCCTCTGACAATGCCTGGAGCATCCTGAGATGGAAGGAAGGAGTTCCAGCTTGGAAGCATGTGATGTCCTTTTGAGTGTCACTAATGTTAAAAAGAGTCCCAATGAATGTGAACCTGGTATTTTTGGTTACATATATGTGTGATAAGAATGCAGTTCAGATAGTATACTTTTCAGAGCTGCAAAAGGGAGAAATACCTAGTTCTGATAAGATGCAAGATCTGGATTTTGCCAATGCTAGATAGAATAGGTTTCACCAGAAAAAAAAAAAAAAGTTAGCAGTGAATCTGGTAGAAGCTGGTAGGATTGAACCACTGGTAAAAAGTAGAAGATGCTTCATAACATATGTCTGACAACTACTTAAGATTCGTGGTGGCTGGTGCCAGGGTGACAGGATACAAACACTGCATCTCTTTGTGTCAGCAAGTCCAGTATCACTATGGATGCAGGAGACATTAATTCCAAGGGGAGAGCAATGCCAACTTTTCTTAAAGGAATCCCTTCAACAGCTCCTCCACTTAGGTAGTTATGAAGTTCAGTTTCCAATGAAAGTTGCTGCCTCCTGGCATTACCTCTGCTTCATTAAATAAGGAGGCAGTTATTTGGGCAGTTACACTCTACAAGGCCTGCAGAAAATCAGGAGGAAGAGCCCAAAGTCACTGTGACTAGCACTACTCATTTCTGAAATGCAGCTTGAGGAACTGAGGGGAAACATACGTGACAGAATATAACGAGCATTTATGAGAGTAATGCGAAGGGATGGCTAATGGCCAGAGCTCTGGCATGTTCCATTAAAAATTAACCAGGGAAACCAGAGAAGTGAATTTCCTGCAGATCATGGGATGCTGCACAAAAGACATTGTATGCCAGACACAGAGGAATGGAAAGCTGGCATAAGACGTGCAAGAATGCTTGAGATTCCTATTCAGATCAGGCATGAACATTACCACTGAAGACAGAGCACCAAATATGATATGCATAATCATGGTGGAAAGCAGAATGCAAATAACCCCTGAAATCACAGGAGATTCCAGGTCCTCTTTTTCTCAGATCTATCTGAATTACAGATTCAATTAGGGAAAAAATAAACCTTAGCGGGACTCTCATTTTTAATGAGATGCTGCCGACCTAACAATTTAATGGCCCACCATATGTTGCAGATAGACTATAGATAGACTCTAGGAGCAGTTAAGAGAAGATAATGGATCACAATTCAGGAAAGGCTCATTCTGAAAATTTTCTGGATTTATCAGTTTAAACAGTACAAAATTCTAGCTGAAGAGTCTGAATAGCAAGAACTTAATTTGTTAAGATGGACTTGAGAGTGTACAGGATGGACTTGAGAGTGTACAGGGGCCCCTACTCTTCCTCACTAGGTCACTGTAGAATGTTTTAAAATCTTGATAGGTATCATGACATTTACAGCTTCGCAAACAGAAAAAAGCCAAACAATTCACTGCCAAAGAGCACTTGAAGCAAAAACAGTCAATCCAGAAGCATTTATGTTTCTATACTAAATACTGTACAGAGATATTAAAAAAAAAAGGAGAAAGTTCCTGACCCCAAATGCCAATTACATACTGAGAGTGGAATTTCTGTGATTTAACTTAAGCTGTCAAAAAAGTAAGCATCTAGCGTAAGCTATTTGCCTGCGCTCCCTCAATAATCTGTGGAGAGAGACAGGCATCTCCAGGGAAAAATTCTTCTCATTCTGGGTAACAGGATGAATCACCCTCTGGGGACAGCATGTTTCCAACAGCTATAAAGGGTATCTAGATGATTCCCTTGCCAACTGAAGTTTAGATTAGCTGGGAAAACGACTAGATTTTGGGCCCACCGGCCCACCGGTCTTCTTTTGATCTGAAAACAGAAAAGGGGTTCGTGTTCCCAGCATCTTACCACTTAATCTAACAGTACTAGTTGGTCAAATAAAGCATACTACCTTACAAACTTTCTTTCCTATGCATTAGACCATCATAGAGAAAACTCTACCATCAACTAGATGCCAAAGTGCTAACTCTAAAGTTGAACGGGATGAGTCTCATCCCAGGACACAAGAAGAGTGGCATCGTGGCATCAGATGAGTTATGCACTTGAAATGCTTCTTCCTCATTGCTTATTAAAAAAGGATTCTAGATCCCTAGATCAGATATTACTAGACACATCTGATAGACAGATGTACATCATCATCAGGACAGATGAATCCTACCAAAAATTGACAGCTGGATGCCATTTATTCTCCAGTAATAGCAATGAACACACTCCAATCCCAGCTGAACAGCAAACTGACTTGTGCACTCCCGTCCCTCCAGCACTGCGTACTGCTTCCTGCTCACAGGTTTTGGTCAGGGAACAGCTGTTTTCCTCAGACAATGAAACTCTCTGGAGAAAGTCAAATAAAACCCCTTTCTATGATGCTGCATGAATACTCTTTTATAAGTGGAAATGAGGGGTGCCACTAAGACAGACATTTAGGGAAAAGCTCCAGTCAAATCTACCAGCCATTAGGCCATGTCGGGAATGTTGTAACAGCCTCGTGAAAGATCCTGCTTAGTCTCTTTCATACAGTGGCTCTTAATAATGAGCATATAATAAATGTACAGTCTGGAGGAATTTACTATACAGTATCCAATTGGATTTATATAGTCATAAACTTGTACAGCACTGCTTCTATGATTTACAACAGTCTCTACTAATTATGAAGCTATGCCTGGATTTGAGATGTAAAAGGCAAATGTTACCAGACTGGTTGTACAGTGATGCTATACAAATGCACGTTTGCCACAGCAATCTTGAACTGCTTGTTAACAGAGAACCATTGCAAATAACCATGTGTTGCTGTTATGAAAAGCACCAAAAGCAGAAACCTAGGAAGTTTGGGGATGGGGTTTTATTGTGATGGAGTTTAGAGATAAGGGAAGGAGTGGGGAGTGGATAGTCCATGGACCCCATCAGTGAAACTTTTGCTACATTCTGCCTGGATTGTAGGGGACTGGACTTGGTAGCTTACCTGATCCCTTCCCCAATTTCTACTTCTGATTTCCTGAAAAGAAACCACCATAGGAAATACTATAACTTACTGTAGGACAAGCCTCTCATGACCTAAATGGATATAGAAGGATGTTTACTTCTGAGAAGTTTTCCAGCACAGACATTTAATTTTGCTGTTACTCAACATATTAAATAACTATTTCAGAACAGACTGTATGTCATTAATAGGAATTACCTGGGCATCGTGGGCAGCACAGCTGTGGTACATGCACAGGGGAAGGACAGTGTAGACTTGGGCATCTTATTCTGCTGCACAGTACATTTCCATTCTGCAGATGAACATAATATAATACTGTAATGAAATGGGCTGTCTTACTGATTTCCATGTTCTCTATGCTGCATCTAGATATTAAAAAAAAAAAAACCAACGCCTTTTTACAATGTTCTGATTTCACTCACACCAGGGTAAGCCCAGACTACTTTCACTGCCTCTGAATTTTTGCTAGAGGTCAGAATGTAGCAGAAATCCATACAAACCTTAAAATCAGAGGAAGTGCCTAAAAATGGATTGCAACAATGTTCATTGGTGTTTTTCTTCTGAGCAGATTACGCTTAGGAATTGCATTTCCCAAACTAAGACACAGATAATGAATAGTAGGTCTCTGAGATATCCCCTACTGAGGGTTAGTTCAAGACCGCAAGAGACAATAGTGTCTGTAATTGTTCCTGAAAACTGTGGAGAGTCTTTTGTTTTCATTTTATGGGTTCCCCAGTAGACAAAAAACATCAGTTCATAAGTGGCCATTTTTCTAAGAAATACAACCAAGTCTTGGGAATAGTGTTCATTATTCATATCATTAACATAATATTCTATTTGACCACATCTAAGTTTGATTTATAATTAAAACACAGGGAATTTTCATTCTCCAGTGTCTGTAACCAGAAAAGACTATCCATTTCAAATTCCCATTTCCTATCTATAATTCATCCTCCTAATTTGGCTCTGAGTCACTCATGTTTATAGCAAGAAAGATCTTTCGGTATGAACAGTGACACTATGGTATGACTGTAGTTTTTGGTGGTGTCAGGAATAAACCCTCTTTGTTTTCATATGCCTTCTGGAGCAATGAAATGTTTCCAGCGGAGGTGCTATCTATTCCTTAGATAGCATATCTATAGGCTTCTCTAGCCATCTCTTTCAAATTAATCCATTGACTCCTAAATATCTGCAGACCACAGGCTGGAATCATACTGTTAGATCATTACTACCCACAAACTACATTTGTGCATCTGCTTTGGAAAGACACTAAAAATGATATCACCATCTGTTTCCAATCATGATGGAAATTAAATATACTGATTTTATAGAGGAGGAGAAAATTTTAGGCTGTAAGCTCTTTGCAGGATAGGGACTATCACTGGTCTGCACAGCTCCCTGCCCAGCAGAGCATCACCCGAGAGCCTGTAAAGCACGACCGTAGAAGAAAGGCCAGCACTGCCTGCTGGCCTGGCTCCATGTTGCTTACTTGACCTGTTCCATGGCCTCGCTCCCTTCTTAATTATTAGTCCTGTGAAATCTCCTGGGTGAATGTTTACTTTCTGTGCATGATCAGCTGTGATAAAAATTCTGCAGACCTACTTTGCTCGTCAGTGCCGTCTGCAGTACTCCACTATTTGCAGCAGGACAGAACTATTTTAACTGATCTTGCGCTTGGTAAGACTGATCTTATGCTTAGATTCACAGTGATATTGGGGAGACCAACCCCTATTGACTAGAGTAGGACTGAAGCTCCTGTAGCCCTCTGTGAGTCAGGGCCACGGTTAGCACTTCTGCATCAGATACCCAAAGAGTAGCAACACATCTCTCTTCCCAAGCTGTATTATCAGTGCTAAGTGTGGAGAACATTCATTTTAGCCCCTGCAGATCTGACTACGAACACAAACAAAAAGCTGCTGTAGAGAGTAAAATAATGATCTGACAAACTGTAAGTGCTCCAATTTACCTGACAGTAACAGTCAACAGTCTCCCCTGTGTATTGTGGGGGAGGAGGGGTTGTAAAAGAAAGGGGGAACAGGCTGAGAACACTGAATTATGTTTCGTTTTACTCTGGTTTAAGTATGTAAATTATAACTTGTAAAAATACAATACTACATACATGCAAAAACAGGACGGCTTTTTTTTTTTTTTTTTTTTTAATCCCAGGCTGAATAATTTGGCCTCTGTTTAGTTAGTTAACTTGTCTCGCCTTCTTCTTAAACATCAGAAGTCTGTGTGTTGGGGGGGATGGATGGGCAGACTGTTGTTTAGAGATGGAGCAGAGATCTCGGTTTGTGAGACTTGTTTTGTGCAGAGATCATATGGATCATGACGTTTGAGGCCAGCAAAGACATTTTGGTCACACTGGTGAAGAAGACCTCTGGGGATTTTTTTAGCTTTTCTCTGCAGCGTGAGGGAGAAGGTTGCTGTTTCAGCCTCTGTACATATCCTTTGCCTAACTGATTTACTGCCAGGGAATCAACGGTGGTTTACACTTAGGTCTCTCTTATTTGCTGTCTGTGCAACACTTTAGTTTCATTTTTTTATGCTGTAATATTTGGTTTAAAGTCTGTGCTTGTACTATATCATGGCATGTTTTCTAATGCTTTATCTAGCCTTAATTTTGTTAAAATTATAAATTATTGAGAGTTTCTGGATGGTCCAGAGCTGAAGACACTTCTTTTGGTCAGGACAAAACTCAAATGAATGGCTGGATGCTGCAGTTGTTACTTGGAGTCTTCCTTCCAGGCTGCAAGAGTCACATCCCAGAGATCCCTCAGCATATTCATGGCTGAAATAACCCCAAGTTACATTTTGCACCCTCACAGTACAACAAAGGTAAAACAGAGCAAACAAGGAAGCAGAGTCCAGAACTACTTCTGAGCTGCATGTACTGATAATTACCACAAGCAGTTTCCTTCTTTACTAACCTTGTTGCCCTGAACTGTCACTCTGATCTTCCATGCCCATGTGCGAAGGAAGAAATAAAATATACTCCATTTGTTGGAGCCTCACAGTGTGTGGGTATGCCTGGATCACAGCAGAGCTGTTCTCTAGAGCAGAATACCATGCACTTTTCCATCCCTTCACACTAACATCTTCCTAAAAATCATTGAGCAAAGACTTGTATCCAGATCTCTAGGGTTTCCATTGAATTTCATCCCTACCCAAGACACAGCCTTCCAGCAAGTCTTTTACCACACGTGGACTCTGAGGGAGTTTTCAACTTTGCATATAGATCAGCAAAAGTGAGTGAAAACTCCTTTTTGCTATAACCAAGGCCTTTTCCTTTTCTTCCTACTACACTGCTTTTTCTCTTACAGATCCATTCTGCTGCACAGATCTGAGATGCAGCCAAGCTTGTGGGACTACTGTTTGTGCATCTCTGCATTAAATTCTAGTAGCAGATCCCTCAGAGCAAATGCTGCACAGGGGCCCAATATTTTACACTTTCAGGGGGGAATTAGCCAAGAAAACTATTTTGCGTTAAATACAGCATCTGGAGTATCTCATGTGTTAGTGATTAGAGATCCCTTATTGTTTAGTCATTTTAAAGTACTCCAAGGGACATATTCTACCTTCATTTTCCTGCCCCCCCAGCTGTATATGACATACTTAGGGGATCTATGACTGCTGTGTGTTCCTATCAGGCATCACCTGATGGCAGCCAAGGACCTGTCCTTTCACATCCTACCCAATTCTCTCTGCTCCCCACACCCTTTTCTCATTTTTCATCTTCTCATTCTTTCATAGATTTTTACAAATGGTGATATCCCACACCTGCTCCTTCAGCACTTTAGGGCAGCAGATGCTTTGACCGTGGAAATGCCTGTGAAGATGTGGGCATTGTATGTAGATCAAAACACTACCGAGTTCAGGTTCAGCATAATCGTCCATAGTGATGGAACTGCAAGGATTATATTTAGGTCGTGGGGTCCAGTTATTCAAGATGCAATGTTCAGCATGGACAAAGCTTCTGGCTAGTTGAGGAGCTGTTTTGTCTACCCCATGCAATTATTTTTTGCTGGTATTGGCCTTCTCTGTTAATGTTTTTGCTTCACTAGGATCACCTGCCTCTATTTCCTGCAGCATGATCAGGACCCGCTAGTGAAAACAGGTTTGGGCTTTGTCAAATTGTAGATACAACAGAAAGGATTCTAATCAATTAAGCAAGTGGAATAAGTTGTAGGATCAATAACTCAGCAGTCCTACCTCTGAGCAAAGACAATTAACGCAGTAAACAAGGCCATAGGGTTCTAGGTAAGGATGCCATCTTTCTCCTACACGATACTTCTTATCTTGAAACACACAGTATGTATCTGAATCTGTAAAACAGTAAAGAATTGAAAGAGCTATGAAAGAATGTTCCCATTCCATGCTTACAAAGTGTTTTTAGGTGTGCAGTCTTTTCTCTAAACTATTTTTTTCTTTTACTGGAAAAATCACACAACAGAAATGCCCTTAACTTCATGTGCTGTTGTTTCTAACCTCTCAAACCAAAATAAATGACATGGTCTCCCATCTTTCCAAAATTGCGGTTCCTGAAATAGCTGCTTTCATAAATAAAATGGCTTTCATACAGGATGAGTTTATCCTTTCACCTGCAAAAACACAGGCTAAGATCTCGTTTAGGTAACAAAATTAAAGTGCTTGATTGTTCAGACAGGTTTATAGGAAACAAAACCTTTTCACTGAGAAACCAAAGCAATTGGCTCAGGAAAATCCCAGGTTGTACAGCACAGAGATTTTCAACCAGGGGACTGCAAAAGGAAGATAAATGCACTGTATTTACACTGCATGTTCAGTATCTCCATATTTTAACAACGTAATAAAAATGTTTGTCCTAGTATTTCAGACTTACATATGCATCAGCATTCAAAATATTTTAAGATCTTCCTGTTCATTAAGCACTTCTAATCTTGCAGGTGCAGTTTTGCAGATGTCCATCTGCCTATCAGACATTACTGCCCTGTCCCTGTCACATGGTTTCACACTGAAAACCCAAATCTCTTCCATAAAAGGGTGTTTCTCATGTGTTTCCACGAGAAAATTCCTTCCTGTTATCTTAATGATGTCCAAATTCAGCTTAATTCTTCAGTACAGATGATACCTCAGGGTATCAAACAAAATACCTGTCTTCCAAGTGATAATCCAAGCAAGGGACATTCTTCCCATTTACTGGGCTAGAAGAAGGTAGCAAGAGGTAGGGATTAGCAGTAGCAACTGTGAAGTGATCTGCTTTCACTTCATGCAGAGGCATTACAAATGAAATGCAGGGTCTGAAAAAGCAGACAGCTGAAGTGAAGTTTGATAATTTCTCACACTGCGCTTTCTTTGAACAGGGGTACCTGCACGTTGTTTTCGTGGGAGTAAGTTCAGCAGAGAAGGTGGCCCTTTTTCAACTCACTTTTTTTCCTCCTTTTTTTTTTTTTTTTTTGTCTACCTCCTTAGAAGCAGAAGCTGCTGATACTGAGGCTGAAAAATATAACTACTTCTCAAGGGCAAACAATGTCCTTTGTAAGAAGGCGGCTAAACCCCAGCGTATGCAGGTGGGGAGAGCATTCCAGAGAGCTAGTGAGAAGGCTGAAGCAGTCAATAACTCCCAGGCTTATTTGGGCAGTTACTCCTTCTTGCCATGTTTTCTGAAATGTGTTAACATCTCCCACGGATGACAGGCTTTGTAGAAATATTCCCTTTGTTTTGTTTGTATTCTTTTCAATACTTCTCATCAAGTTTCTGACAGTGCTTAGGCTCTTAATTTTCTCAAAGGATGTATCTAATCCAGTTCATATGAGGTTGTTTTTGGAACACAACGGAACAGTCTTGGACGAGCTTTACACGAGCTGAAAACTTCAGCACAATAGTCTAACACATGGGACAAAATCCAGATAATCCGTCAGATGTTTACAGAGGTCACTAAAATGGAATTAAGCACTCTCTTGATTCAGGATATTTGAAATAAAACAGATTCTCCAATTGATGTGTTATGTTCCTTATGACACAATAAAACCTGTATAGCTTTAGGAAACCGTGCCCCAAACGTGGGTGTGACCTGATTCTATTAAATGCAGGATTAGAAGGAGGAAGAATGTTAGAAGGTTTTGAACACAGTTCCACAGTTTAGGACATTCTTGTCTGAAGATCTTTTCTGAACCAGATCTGTTAAATAGAAGGAAACTGTCAAATTTGGGTGAATGTGACAGCTTTGTTTGAAGTCTACTTACGTTTTACTTGTTCTAGTTTACCTCCATCTATGAAAAGGAGACAGAGCACACCAAAAAAGATAAAATGAAAATCTTCCAATATCCACTTTTTTCTCATCTTTATCGACAAAAGGAAAAGAAAGAGCATCCAAAGTAGAGAATGTTGAGCTGTTGGGAAGAAAAGATTAAGTGAATTAAACTAAAATCCCATAAGATACTTAAATTCTCTGACATGATTTCATCCAGCACACAGAAATCCTAAACTGCCAGAACCAAAAAATCTGTCTGTATCATGGATCTTCATTTCATGGAAACAGCTTTGGCTTCAGGTCATTTCATTTTTGGAAAAGGGGCCACATTCTCATTCATGAAAGCTGAAAACTTTATTACTTCTAATGAAGTCCTTATTTTATTCCAAAGCAGAGAACTCTGGCAGGTAAGCAATCTGAATTCTTAAAAGTTCTCTTTCACAAGAAACTACTTTGGGAGATTTTCTTGTAGAGCGGCCCTTTTAGATGTAACTTAGGAAATACAGGTGTCAGTTGCAACGTAAAATTAACCTTGAGTATACCTGGTGGATTGACCCTGCACTGTGGAAATCGCTGCTTCGAGTGAAGTACTGCCATGCTGCAGTCAGCGGGAGTTTTCTTCACTGCACCTAACAGGCTCTAATTCCCCCCTCCTCCCCTCTCCCAACTACTATTGTTCTGGGATTGTGTATCATTAATTTTTCTAGAGTTAACCCTTCCATTGCCTTGATATCTGAAAGTACAATCGGGGCATGAGACATCATCTTCATTCTTGTAGATTTTTAATGTCAAAATCTTGCATATGGAGCAAAGCTTAATGTATTCTCTGCGTGGTGCAGAGATGGTATCATACTTGCTGCACGCACAGTTCTGTTTGTCTCGTTCTGCTTTTTAAAAGGTGAATTATTTTATAATGAAAAAAACAAGGGAGAAAATAATCAACTAAAGTAGAATTTATTTATTTTTGATAACCAACCTAAGATTCTAAATTGAGAAGTATGTTGATGCTTTATGGTTTATCAGAATTCATTGAAAAATGTTATCTTCCCAGAGTACACTTGTCCATAATTTACAATGTTGGAGAGACTTGGGTTTGATTTTAAGAGTCTTGATGTGGATTCACAATTAGTTTTACAAAAGTTAAAAAAAAAAAAAAAGATTCACTATTGGAAAAATAAACAATCCGCTTTGTAAACTATTTCAGCCTCTTCAGATTTCATGTAAATAATAGAACTGTACATGAATATGGTTCAGCTCACAGATAACCACAACAGAAATAATGATTTATATATGTATATTCAAAATTAAGTGGTGGATAGCTTAGAGAAGTTAACTAAAGAGTAAGTTAACAAGCACTTGAAAAGAAAAATCTTCCTATTAAGAGATGTAGGATACTATAACAAAGGGTGGGTGATCTGATTTTATCAGAGTGGTTTTATTGCCTTTACTGTTTAAGGGCTCTCCACTCTATATTCCCAAACGACAACCAAAATGGACATCTTCCTTAACTCATCACATCTATGCAACTACTCTGTCTATACTCAGTAACCTCATTCAAAATAATGTAAATTGCATCTGAAAACATTCAAAAAAAATAACGCTATTTTAAAAGCACACTCCCTATGCAGTAACAAAATAAAACTTTCCATTTATTTTGGAAGCTGAGAATAATATTCCAATTTCAGAAGAAAGGTTTAAGTCATTTTTTCCTTTCAACATGTTCAAATCACATAGGACATTTTTAAGCCAAATAACTTTTTAAAAACTTGTTTAAAATTAAAACCTCATCATTTAGTCCCAGGACATCACGTATGCATTGAGAACAACAGTAGAACATCACTGGGTCTAGCAGAAATGTGAATGTTTAAATATTTTGGCCTTCTTGGGGGTTGCTTAAGCAAACAATATTTATAAATGGAGCACAATTATCCTTTGTGCAGTACTTTACCTGTTAGCTAGATTGGGTAGTTCGAACAGAAAGGCTCAGAAATCCATTTTAAATGTCAGGTCTTCAAAAGGAAGAACATTTTAAAACTTGGACTGCACAGTAATGTGAAATGGAGGAGTTAATAACAGAAATGGGATAGGGACTTTTTGATGTCTGTCTTAATTCTCTTTAATTTCTGTATTGTTGTTACTCCAAATATAAACACATACTTTTCACTATTAGCACACTCCCTTTATTTCCCCAAAGGGCAATGTCCTAAAAATATTCCTGGATTTAAATAATCCCAGTTAGGATTAACCTGTTAAGTATTGGTGTGTTTTCTGCTTAGCAGAAACAATGAAAAGCAATCCACTTCTGACATGAATTACTCACAGAAATAAGGCATGTGGGTCTATTTTGAACGCCTCGCCCTCCGAAGAGCCCAGTGTAGTAACTACAAGTGGCAGAGTCCGGCCTCGCCACGTTTTACGATTAATGAAAAAAAAAAAAAGAAGAAAAAAAAAAGGCAAGCAAGCAGGGCTGAGAGGGGCTGGAAGAGGCTGGGAGAGGAGCGGTGGTAGCAGAGGCAGCCGGCTATCCCCGAGCGGGGACAGGCGCTCTGCCCGCAGGGCTGCTCAGCCCCAGACGGGCGGGCTTGCCCCTCCATCCCACGGATCCCATCTCCCTCCTTTTATCCCTGCAAGCCTTGCTGCGAGCCTTGCGCTTTTACCGTCGGGGAGGGGGGTGTGTGTGTGTGTGTGTGT